ATACATAAAGAAATCGATTTTAAATTGAGGCCGTTGCTTATGCATTAAATATGACAACGAAATGTTCAGTCTACCAGATAAATTCAAAAGGTTATCGTCGATCACTGGCCGCTATCCTTACCTTTTTATCTTATATTTGAAAACTTTATTGGGTTTCAATATTAAATACTTTTACTTAATCAAATCGTTTAAATATATTTAAGTTTTAATTAATTGAAAAAGACGTCAATTGTAATCGCACAACCAAGCTCTTAGATAAATGTGATGACTTTCACTTTTCTTTCGTCAACTTCCCTTACTGCAGCAATATACTTTCATCACTTGCACACGGAGTTTATTTATCTCAATTGATTCGATACGCAAGAGCATGTGCTACGTATGAACAATCTCTAAAACGAGGTAAATTATTGACAAACAAGTTGATGAAACAAGGATTTTAGCTGTTTCATTTAAAGTAATCATTTCGTAAGTGCTATGGTCGATACAATGACCTTGTCAGCAAATACAATGTATCATTGAGTGAAATACTGACTGAAGTTTTTCATACTAATTGTCAGTCCATTATTTATACTCTTAATTGACGACGGATTTTCCCATCACTTCCCGAACATGACTAGGAGCTCACGGCGGTTGTGACCGGTCGACAGGGGATGCTCACTCCTCCATGGCACCTGATTTGACCTCTGATATTTTGGAGGTCCGTGTTTGCTCGAATTGCTCCTACAGGTATTTCCTCCTATTTTGTAGATACCTCCAGTTGCAGTTGCACGACTTTTGATCTCGAATACTGTTCGTTTTCTACTTATGTTTCATTCAAAAATGTAAATAATACACGCAATGCCAGTTGTAACAGGCTGGAATGATTTCTTCATATACCTTTTTTATACCTTTTTTATCGTATTTAACATAAACAACATTTTTTCTTCATTTTTTTATTGAGCTTATATTATATTAGTTCCCATATTTAATACGTATTCATTCATCCTTTTCTGTATTTTTTATGATTCTACACCAGTAAGTATAGATCTAAAATAAGCCATAAGAATTCAAGAATATTTGACGATCTTAGTCCTCCTAGTAATCTAAATATCATATTTTTTTTTTTACAAATCATTATTTTTTCCCAACTTTGGATTGACCTTCAGACCAGACCCTTTGCCCTAGGGATTGCCTGGAACAATCCGTATCTACTATATATATTCTCAGCTTTGTTTAAGGATAATTTGCACAGTGAATCTTGAGAGGAAGACTTTTTTAGCGAACGGTAATTTCGTTTTCATATTCCAATTTTGTCCCAATTGGTTTCATAGTTAGTGAAAACGAGAACCCTTGGTCTAAGAATTCGATGTAACAAATTTGACAAAACTGGTCTCGTGGTTCTTGAAATATGGCCCATTTTCTAAAAAAGGCTTTTGCACATCGCTCACTGAAAAACAAAGGTAAAAAAAGCACAAAAAAGTCAATCAAATGTACAGTGTTTTAATTTTTTCCTGCAATTTGTAGACCTTCATTTGATTATTGTATTAATGACATTAAGCATTCTAAATTCAAATTTATGTAACGAAAAGTTCATACAGAATTGAAAAAGTTTGATTGCAAAGTAGTGACAAAAATAAATTCAGTTATAAAAATAAATTCAGTATTACATGTATGCCTTAATATTTACATTTGCAAATGTTTTCCTCTATATAACACTACTGAAAGCAATGTGTATCAATAACTGTATAAATACAGGTATGGGGTCAAGAGGTCATAGATGTGCGTATTGATATTCGTTTGACGTAATTTCTCAGTGACGTCATAAAGGGTCGTCGCGCGATCAATGGATTTTATACATGCCGTTGGTTTTGAAAAATAATGCATTTCACACGTTAAAAGTCACAATCAGGCAACTATAAAGTATGAATAAGTCACAAATGTAAATATAAGTAACAAGGTATCATTTTAAAACATCTATCGGGCTATAAATACGGGTTGGTACGAGATTAAATTCATCATAAAGCCCTTCGGGCTTTATGGAATTTAATCTCGTGACCAACCCGTATTTATATCCCGATAGATGTTTAAAAATGATACCTTATTTCTTAATTATACTCACATGTTTTTATACAATTATCATACACAGTCTGTTAAAGCAAAATTCAGGCAAACTTACGGAATTCTCAATGAAGTTATAATGCATTCACTTAAACTTTCACGATTGAACATTTTTCTTTGAAACAAGCACCTGCTTGGAATATTTAAACAATTGCAATCCATTTATATAAACCTGTGTAATTAGTTGTGAATAGAATATTGAATCAAATTAATAAAAGATTGATTCACATGGAATTCTCACTGACATGAAGTCTTTTAAGTCTTCGATGTTGAAGCAACGTTGCATGGTTTTATGTTCATTACTCTGATGTTTGTTGATGTTCTCTGTGAGGTTAAAACAGATATATTGTGAACTTTCCGCGACCTTCGACATCTCATTGCTTCTCTATATGCACTTAAAACATTTTTATTCATAAAACCGTAAATAAAGGTATTTACACAGCTGTTCGCATATGACAAATATATAGAAATCGAATGAAGTTCAGAAACAATTTGAGAATGATTTTTAAAGAACGTAGCCTGTATCCCAAATAAACTATATAATAGAAGGTACAGTACGAAAACGACAAATGTTGATTTTGTCGACCTTACATCATTTTTAAATCTTTGTTGTCCTAATCCATTGTTCCATGATACAAGGTTCCGTTTGTTTCTTCGAAGATAGGTAAAGATCTTATAGTAACATGTCATGGTTATGCTCATTGGAGCAAAAAGACACACTAACATATAACAGATAGAGTATACTTGATTGACATACCGATTGAAGATGCACATTTGCAAAGTTGGATCAAATATCAAAGAATGCTCCATGCATAATAAGGGCAATGCAAATAAGATTCCTATGAACCAAACGGAGGCAATCATCCCAGAAACGGTAGATCTTGTGTATATTTTTGAGCACAAATTAAAGTGACAGATTTTGACAAATCGATGGACAGCTATCGTGGTCACTGATATCACCGATGTGCTAAAAACTATGTGAGCAAACATGCCATTAAAATGACAGAACAGATCTGGAATTCTGGCGTCCTTATTTAAGAGAAATAGCAGGTTAAAAGACAGTAGATATGTTGTAATAAGAAAGTCAGCCACGGCCAAATTTCCGACAAAGGCATTGTGGATTTTCCGGAGGCGTTTGATTCTCAGAAAAGTCCAAAGAAACAATGCATTGGAAGGTATTCCACAGATCAAAAGTAGTATAACAAATATTATAAAAACAAGATTTGCTGCAGACGATATTTCGCCTTCCAAATCGGACTCCATTGTAGCAATTCACGTCCAAGAAATTCTGAAGTGTTGGCATTGCACGTAAAGCGTTTTATATAAGATCAATGAATATATGACATCTACAAAACTGTGCATAGCAACCAGAACATCATCATGCATGCATATATTAATCAGTTAGTGGGTATTTTTTATCTATTGTGAGAGTATGGATTTGATATAAATTGTGTAGCTTGTTGAATATGACGACAAGAACCTACGCCCAAGGGCGTTACCGTTCTTCTACATGTATATAGTTTTTAAACAAAAGAAATGCAGTACTTGTTTTATTTCTTTTACATTTATAGGAAGGTTAAAACTCTCCACCATCTGAAATAAAAATATATGTGTTATTTATGTAAAACTTTTAGTTAAAAAAACTGAAAGATAAAAAATTTAAGGTAGAAAACACTTCAACTTTTTGCTACAAGTTTTGAGCAATGTATAGAAATAACTGCTACATCCAAAGTAGTAATATTGTTTTGAACATATTTTATTGACAACATGTCAAAGGGATCGGGCACAAGTTTCAAAAACTTAGGTAGTCCTCTCCCATAATAATAGTAATATTAAGAGAGGGGGGGGGGTATGTTACATATACACTGTATTTATTCAGTTTTTAAAGTGATGAGTGACATATATGATAAGAATATTACCTAACAAAATTCAAAACTTACTTTTTTTTCAAATTTGATTTCACAGTCGTTCGTAATGAAAAATTTTTTTCTCGTGCATTGGAAGGAATTGCATGCTTTATGGAATAGGTTTTAATTTCGTTATTTCTTTTTAAGGGGGGCCGACTGGGGGTTTTCATTGCTCAATATTTCGGACATAATAGCTAAATTAAGCGTAATTACTGTTTTAAAGCAACTTTTATCACTTAATTAATTAAATTTAACAAAATTTAAAAATTACAGGTTTAAAATGTAATCATAATTTTATATAACTGTTTTTTAACCGATTTTGCAACTGATAAGTAGGTTGACGTCGTTTTAGTGTGTTTTTGACGTTTTGATAAACTGAGGCTATTGGGGAAAGGGGGTAATAAAATGTTATTATAGAAAAAGTAATAAACATACATCCTTGAATCCCAATTCATAGAAATTTTAATTTTATTCTGTTTTTCATATAAAACGTTTGTGCCCGTCATATTTTGTAGTACTTCATAAAATCAGGAACATTCGTTAATTTTTGGTATTTTGAAATGCCACCTCTGGTAACAAAGCGGTAGGATTTTGTGTTTCTTACATATAATGTACAATATAGTATTACTCATCATATATTACAGTTTGAACAAAAAGTCTAGTAGTATAGTTTTTGTATAATTTTCTTTCAAGTGCTAAAATTGGCACTTTCCTATATAATCCTATAGTAAATGTACCGGTATTTTGGTACGGCCCCTTAAGAATACCTGGACGGTAGATTTCCACCAAACTTGGCATGTACACTGAAGTTAATGTAAGTTATATATGGTATAAAATGAAGAGTTTTGCTATTGTAGTTTTCACACAATAAAACCCCAGTCGCCCCTCCCCTTAAATCTTAAAGAATATTTATTGCATAGACACACCATTTCGATTATGCTCTTGTTTATTTTTTTCTGATGATTTAGCAGTATACCAGATTATTCATAATTATATATTTCCATGACCTATGGGACCAAATATTAATAGTACGTAAACAAATTTTAAATTGTTTGCATTAAGGAAATGATATTAGGATTTAACATAAAGAAGTCATGTGGGAATAAAATGGAGGTAACTAAGAGTAGCCAAGGTATATATTGTAGAAAAAGAAAATCAATTAAAAAAACCCAATGAATTTGAATTAGATGCCGTAAATGAGTAAGGAACTCCTGTCAACAGTTCACATCTGTCGAAAGCCCTGTGTCCTCATTTAAACATTCACAGAAAACCAGGAAGAAAAATAATACCTTTACAATTTTTAGGAAAGCAGAACATATCAAATCAGCTGTTCGTCACAAAAGCCATGGTACGTGATAATTGTGTATTAGTACAAAGGACTAAAGCGTTATTGTCAGTCAGATTGTATTAATGAGTTTATAACCTTATACTTAATATAACAAAGTATATAATGGATGGAATTCTACTGTGTATCTAAATGTTTTTTCGATATGAAGGTTCATAAACAGCTTCAATGTTCATCATCAATAAGCACATTGTACAGTTCTGAAACAATAGTATAAATGGCTATGTACAAGAAATACGAGAATCATTTCTTTTGAATCTAGCGAACCTAATATTTGTCTGACTTAGTTACATGTAATGTTATCCTTATATTCTTTGAATTTAGATATTTTTTTTTCACATCATCTTTGCCTGTCATGGTAACCTATAATTAGTGGTAGAGCATTCGTGATCGGGAGGCCCGGGTTCGACACTCGTTTAAGGCGCCGCGTCAAACCTAAGACGTAAACATACGTAGTTACTGTTCCTTCGCCAAGCGCTCGGCAATAGAAGTGAAAGTCACGGGTCTTTCGGATATGACCTTTACAAGGTACGTGCCGAGTCACGGTAGGTGTTGGCACGATAAAGAACCCTTCACTGCTCCCTGACCCTGAAAGCCGAGTAAAAGCTTAATTTGAAGCCCTTCACCGGCATTCCGTGACGTCTCTATATGTGTGAAAAGTTCTCGAATTGGCCGTTCAATAATACCTAACAATCAATTCGTATCATCTTAAATAGCCAATATGTTATAGTTAACTGATAATATATAAATAATTCTATAAGTTCCCTTTCTAAGGAAGGAATATTTAATTTCAATTTCTTCAAGAAATTCTTCATATGCCCGTTTTAAATATTTTTAATATACCAAACAACCAAAATGAATCTTAATTACCATATATGCATGTATATCGGATTCCGAAACTTTATAAAATCCTTACAAACAAAGATGAATGGCAGGTTTCAGTAAATATTCAACCAAGTCGCTTTCTTTACTCATCACTAAGATATTAACAGTGGTGAAGGAGGAACTTCAAGAGCCGTGTGCAACAGTATATTCGAGAAGTGGGTACCCTATATTGTTTTTCCACAAAGTACCTAATTCACTTGCAAGTACCCCCGCTTCAAGCTCGTATTTTGTTAACCAACTTTCACAAACTTTAAAATGACGACGTTCGCTTCAAGAAATGGTTTTCTTGCCAATTAAATCGTTTCAGACGTCTCCGGTTGAGCCTCTTCATTGTAAAACACTCATTTATTCCTCGAAAAGTGCGTCGACACATTTTAAAACTTTAGATTAGGTACAACTTTTTCTAACTTTTCTTTTTAGAGAAGAGTTCGACATGTACATTATCTTTGACAATATGCCTCCGAATTTACTATCATTCTTTACCTCTTGATATTGACCTTCATGTTTGACCTGCATATGATTAAAGAATCGCTTAAATTTGATGATTACCTTTGAATGACATAAAAAAGGGAGTTCATAATTGACACACAATATGACATAAATGATGACATCCCACCCACCAAGACACCAAAAGTAGGAGAGAACAATTCTTTGAAGTTGCATTATTTTAAAACGCACCCTCGCGTGTAACAAACATAAACGTGAGTTTGCTTAATATATATACGTGTAAATGATCTTTAAAGCTCTTTGGAAATAAATTTACTTGTTTTTTTTTTATAGAATTAAAGAAATTAAATTAAAGAAATTTTAATTCAAAACTGGTTACTTTTTACTAGTTATTATAAAATTTGTTCTAGTATGTTGATGTTAACACATCTCGTACAATGTCATATGATCGGTTGTGAATGTGGTTAGGTATAATTCTCACTGAAAAATATTATCTTTAATTGTGTAATTAACAAATTATCGCTGTACCTTTTTGTAATACCTCGGGTGTATTTGTCATGTAATGTAACACATCATGCTGAGAAGGAGTTTAATAAAAGATTATCGTGAGTGCTACTTGGGCACACAATATTATATTTAGTTAAATCGTGTATTTAGATGGTTAAAGCTTCATTGCATAACAGCAACGAAGAAGAAGCCACGGTTTTAGCTTTATTGCACCCTAAAAAATATAATGTCATCCAAAAGTTTTGAAACGGGCTTAAATTTGATCTAGATATGTGACTGTGATAATCCAGGAAAGAATATGGCATGGAGGTTTACCATTATGCAAACATGACGTCATCAATGTGATGCATTTCTCTTGTTTAAACAGAAAAAAGCCTCAAAATGGCTCAATTCAAGGGTAATTTTCTTTTAGAAAATAGTGTCCACAACCGTCGCCCTTGTTAGTTTTTTGAAATGTCGTGCAAAAGTCAATAAAAAAAATCACATATCTCAAAATCTTTATGGGCGATGCCTGTGGACAATGTTATCTGAAAGAAAATTCCATTGAAAATTTGTGTCTTCTGCAACTTTTTAAGAAAATAAGGAAAATGCACATGTTTATGAAATTACAATTAGCATTTCAAAGCACATCTGAGAAAAATGATTTGTTTGACTTTTCTGCATTGAATTTCAATTATTCAGAAAGCATAAGTTTTCATCTTTTACACCGGTTTCATTTTTTAGAAAATCACAGAGCAGAATTTGTATGGAAACCATATCTTGTTCTTTGCAGTCTTTGAATTCGACTCAAAATTGTGAAACACTTTTCCCCAGCAATATACATGCTCACTGCGATAACATAGTTTCTACAATTTTTGCTAGGTGCATAAATGTAAATATATTATTGTGCTACTGCAAACGTGCTTTGGAAAATCAATAAAATTAAGTTTTATTTGTGAAAATCTAAGTAAACGATATCATGATTAATTACGGTTTTGGAAAAAAAATCAAGAAGATAGGTTTTAGTGCCACCGAGAAGTAAGCACACCCAGTAAAAGGGGCCATACTTGATTTTAAAAGGATTTGTATGTTATATGTAAATAGGAGGGTTAACGTTGTTCGGAAAGCTGGAGGCCACAAATCTTAATATTTGCTTCTTTGAATTTATTGTAGAATAAAACAAATGTTTATAC